ATTTCATTTCTATCCTCTAAGTAAAGTTACCCATAAATTTTTAAATAATCTTTAAACTTGTATTTTCTGAGACATTCAGAAGTAAAGTGGGTGGGCAGTCCGCAGCCACTTGTTGCAAGCCTCTGTGGACAGGAGGGTCGCATGCTGGCTCACGCACCTGGCGAAGACTGGAGGACCCTGCCACAGGCTGAGGACAAGCGCAGCACACCCACAAGACCCTTCGTAAGCCAGAACGGCATGGAGCGAAGAAGCCTTACCGTTAATGTATACAGAGAAAGTTTTGAGCATTCCCACACCCAACAATACCCTCCCTTCAGCTTTCCTCACCCCTCAGGACACGTCTTGCTAAGGGACGCACACAACAAACCGAGATAAAGCACAGATGCTCACAGACGCAATTCAAAGTCCTGGCGGCTGGGTGCTGAGATGCTGAGTGCGGTTCCTGGGGAAGGAGCTGGGGCGTGGCTCTCGCCGCTCAGCGTGCGCGCTGCCTCTATACATGCTCGCTGCAAAAGGCAAAAATTCCCTTGGGATTTCTCTCAGTTCGTGAAAGCAGGTACTGAGGTAGGTCTTCCCTGAAAGTGAAGCGCGGACACGCAAACTTTTGAAAAGCGGGGAAGACCCGCCCTAGGAACCTGTGGAAAAGTACCCAGGAGGGCGGACGCTTATCGCAGCATCACTTGAAACAGAAGAAACACTGAAGCAACTCGATGTCCAGAAAGTGAGTAAGTGAATTTTGTTGATCCAAAACAGAGTATTACACAGTCATTAAAATCATGTTTTTGAAGAGTTTTAATAATAAGAGCAAATGTTTATGATATTAGCATAACAAGATGTTCTAAGCAGGTCTCGGTCTATCTGTTTTGGCTGCAGCAGGAAGAAAGCAGATGCCTCCCAGCAAAGCGAGCCGGGAGAGACCCCGTCTACGCTGGCGGGCCAGGGCCAGCCACACCACATGCAGGCGTGCAGGCGAGCTCGTGGGGCAACGAGGACCTCACACCCTGCGGTGGGAACGTACCTGGAAGACCACCTTGGCAAACAGCCTGCTGTCATCTACTAAAGCGTAAAACACCGCATGGCCCTGAAATTCCACTTCTAGGTGGGCACCCAGGGGAACTGTGGGCACGTGCCCACCAAGGCGTCCAAAGAGGCAATATTTGCAATGGCCCCACACAGGGAACATCCCAAATGCCCATGTACAGCAGAATGGACTCTGGTCCATTAGAGAAGGGCCCCCCCTCCCCCCACGGGGATTTTCTCACAAACAGGAAGCTGAGCAGGACTTGTTCATAGGCACATACCCTGTGTGACCCCCTGTAGGTGACAGAGCTTAGAAATGAGCAAAGGGAGGTGGTAGAGGTCAGGCTGGTGTCATCCCTGGGGAGACGGGGGCAAGGGCACCTGCCATTTCTTGAACCCAGCTGGGGTTACCTGGGTGTTTGCTTGGTGATAATCCCCTCGTTACCAGATCGGTGTGGTGGGTGCTTCTGTTCAGCAGTACACTTCACAGTTTACAGGGTAAAGCCATAAAAATTATAAGCAAAATCGTCAGAAAAAAACAGAAAGTCTGAGAGAGAACCCAGGTTTCTACTATCGTGTAACAGATTGTCGCAAACTTAGCCGGCAGCCACTCGGCCAGGGCACTGGCAGGCCACACAGCCCAGGGCTTTCCCACGTGGAGTGGCCCATTCCCATCACTGACGGGCACATCCCACCGGCCACCGGCCACTTGCGTCTCTTCTTTTCATGAGTTTCTGTTGTCGACCCTGAGCCCATTTTCGTTTCCCAGAGTTGTTGCATTCCCGGAATATGTTTCAAAAACTCTGCATGTTGAGGAATTTAAACGTCTCGCTTAGGCTGCACGTACGTTTGCCCAGCTGGTGAGCGTGGGCCTTTGTTCACCGGACCTGGGGCTCTGGTGGCCCTGCGGCTGTTCCGTGGTGTAGACTATGGGCGCTGGCCATCGGGCATCTCCCACTTTGCTTTGTCCCTGGCACCATGATCAGAAAGCCTTCCACCTTTCCCAGTCATAAAAATATCTTATCTCTATCTTGAGTATTTTGGGAGAGCTTAGTTCTTATATTTAAACCCCTTCATCTGGAATGCATTTGGGTATATAATTTTTTCTCCTAAGTGAATCATCAGCCTCAGTGTGTCAGTGAAGCACACTCAGGGGTCAGATGTTTCACGCGCGGTCAGAGTGGCTGCGAGCACTCCCTCAGCCATCCTTGTTGAGGGTCGCCTCTGTGCCAGGGACTGGACGGGGTGCGGTACAGGGTGGAGTGACAAGGCCTGAAGCTCAGGGGGCAAACCCTTGAGCAGCCATGACCCCGCGGGACTACACGCAGCAGCACAGGAGGAGATGCTCAGGGGACAAGGGACAGAGCGTGGGCTGGGGAGGCGTGAGCAAGCTCCATAGAGCAGACACTGCGCCAGGGGTCTGGCAAAAAAGCGCCAGCTCAAGGTGGACAGCGCCCAGAGGCCCCGGCAGGCAAAGCCTCAGCGGGGACCTGCCCCTTCACAGCACACCCCCACGCTGTGCACAGGATCAGTCTGCTCAACCCCAGGCGGCTTCCTGTGTCCAGGTCTCGCACCAGTGGGGCCCTTCCCATTGCCAGCCCCTTGGAGAGCACGGATCACTCAGACCGCTTCTGCTCCCCACCTCCAGGGCCCCACTCTCCCCTCGTGCCAGACCTTGCCAGGGCCAGGCTGCCCCGGGGTGTGTGTCTGGCACTTTCCACTAAAAATGGTGCCAGCAGGCAGGGCCTCTTCTCCTGGTGGCCAGGCAGGGCAAGGTACATGGGGACAGGTGCCACCAAAAGTCAGGGGGGCTGTCAGGACCCCTGGGGTTCAGACCACCTGCAGGCCCATAAGACCCTGGAGCAAGTCTAGGCTGCAAACACCAACAAACCATGACGGCAAATGACAGCAGGCACAGCCCCAAGTTCCGACCTAAAGCCCAGTGCCTTATACCTTGACCCGTCGGGGGAGCGATGGGAGAGCCCAACCCTGGCAACTGCAAGCCTGCACCAGGGAGATCTGCAAGTCTGCCCAGCTCAGCGCAGAAGGGGAGGAGAGGGCACTGGTCCGCACCCTGTGGGGCCTCCGGCCCACCCAAGGGGCAGCACCCCACCCCACACCATCAGGGGCCAGCACAAGATGCAAGGAGCAAAGTATTGCCCTGGGGTGCCCGAGGAGCATGACACACTATGAAGCAGCCCTGAGAGGGGGAGGATGGGGGGTCAGTTCAGGTGGGGGTACTGGCTGCCCAGGGCTGGGAAGCAGAGATGGGCAGGTCCTGAGTCCCAGGAGGCACTTGATAGGTGTGGCCATGTGGGGAGGTGGTCAACTGAGGGGTGAGCCTGGATCAATCTGACCCCAGCAGTACCAAGTCTGGGTTTGGGGATCAGCCAGAATCCATTTCCCACCCTACCTGCACCTGTGTCTCCCCTGAGATCCTCCTGGGCTTCAGCAACACCGCAGGTGCTGTGCCCAGGGCCAGGCCTGGCCTGCAGCAGGTGGCCACACGGCGAGGCCCAGGGCTGCCCCCAGTAGTTGGCTCTTGCCTGGCTCAGACCAGAGAGCCAAGGGCCAAGGCCGCCTGGCCCAGGCACCCCCACTCCTTTTGGGGCATCCCTGAGTCAAAGGCCGAGGCCAGGGCTCCACCACCAGAATCAGCACACGGCCTCCATACAGAACACTCTCTAATCCTCTCAGACGGATCTGCTCGGATGCGAAGCCTCCGCCTACACCTGCTGCCTTGTTTCTGGTTTACAGACACAAGAAAACACGCCCAGAACCTCATTTAACTTGAAGGCCCTTCCTGTTTGACAGATAACCTGCCTCAGGAGTAAGATGATTCACGTTCCAACATTTTGGCCACGCAGAGGGTCAGAACTCTGACAGGCAGCCAGGGTGGACCCCGGCTTCCCACACACAGCCAGGACGGCTCTTCCCGGAACCAGATGCCTCAGTGGGCCAGAAGGTAGCTGGGTGCTGGTCAGAGCAGCACCCCTGATCTGGGCAGGAGGCAGGGACCGGTGGGCAGGGGGTGCTTCCTCCCTTGTCTGAGGCAGCAGGCCCCTGTGCCAATCTGGGAGCATCTGACATTTGCACAGTACCCTGTGCTCGTTTCCATGTCTCGTGTGATGGCCTGAGAAGCCTTCTAGTAAAAAAAAAAAGCACACACGTCACCTATGCAAACACGTCACCTACACAAACATGTCACCTGTGCGTGCACACGTGTTCCAATCTCTGCTTTGCGGCTGCACCCTAGCACCAGAGCGGAGCACAGACAGGGCGGTGGTGCGGCTGCCCCAGGACAGACATGTGGCAGGAGAGTCTGAGAGCAGAAGTGGGCACTGAGCTCAATAGCCTGTCCTGGGCCCTGGTGTCAGAAGTTGTGGCTGCGGCCCTGCAGCTCCATGGGTGTGAAGGTCGCTGCCAGCCACATCTACGCGGGCAGGGCGCATGCAGGAAGCAGTCTGACCCCACAGAGCCCCGGGCAGGCCAGTCCAGGGCAGCCCGCATGGGCTCGCAGCTTGTGACCAGGAAGTGTTCAAGTCTGTAACCCCCCCGGGCGATCTGGGAGGCCGAACATCAGGGCATGAGGAGCTCGGGCCAGTCAGGGCTCTGGTTCCAGAGCAGCCGGGCCTGCCTGCCCACAGGGAGCAGTGTCCTCAGCCTCAGCCCCTGCACTTGCCCCAGAGCTGCGGGCACCTGGGCGGCCTCACCTCCCGGCGGGAATGCGGCTCAGGGGCTGGCAGGGGCCTGGTTCTCTCTGGGAGGCTGCAGACGGAAAGTGCGGCAATTTCAAGGCACGCTCTGTGGAGCCTGCGGTAGCCTGAGCCTCCCCAAGGGTCATGGGTCAGCGAGCCTTCAGCTCTCCAGCCAAGTCAAGACCAAGGAAGAAAGTGTCACTGACGTGACAGTGACCAAGTCACAGAAACGCGGCTGTTGCTGGAGGCCCCACGAGGTACAGACCCCACAGGCTCGCACGGTGTCTCATGTACTTTGTCTACATTTATTCTCTTGCGCTCAACAGAACAGAAGTTTTGTATTTCAAACCAGGTATGAGATGGCCACCACCTCCCTCTGCCCTGGCACCAAACAGCAGGCCTCTCGGGCTGCCCTGGGTTGGCGGCTCCAGGAGGTGGTTATTTGGCAAGGACACTCCAGGGGTGGGGGAAGGGAGACACCGGACCCATCACTGGCCCCCCACATGGCCTGGACACCCCTTTCTCTTTGGTATCTCAGCAGGGGCAGCCCGCTCAGCAGGCCCCGGCCCCAGGCGCCCAGTCCTGGCAGGCTCCATGGACAGGGCTGCTCTGGCAGGGCCTGTCCAAGGCGAGGGCCTGCAGCCAGCCCGGTGGGGGCACTGCCCAGGGCAGGGTGAGGCCTGCTGGGGTGGCCCCAGGCTCATTTCTTGTAGTGATTGGGGGCATCCGCGAAGGCGAACTTCAGGCGGTAGGCCTCAGCCAGCAGCAGGCTGACGTCCTCGTTGCCCCAGTGGGCTGTGGGCAGGTTCTGGAGGAAGAGCAGCAGCTCCTGGGGAAACACAAGCCAGGTCAGGAGGTGAGCGGCGGCCAGCGGCGGGCTGGGCCGGCAGGACACCGCAGTGCGCCCTCCCTACTCAACCCCGACAGGCCCCCAAGCCCTGCAGCCAGAAGGATGCACCCCAAACTCTGGGAACATGCCGACGCTGAGGGCAGGACCCACCTGCAAAGCCTGTACCTCCTTTAGCTGAGTCTCCCCAGCAAGTCCAGCCTCAGGTGCTGAGCCCAGACCTGCAGCCTCCAGCTCACCCCAAGGCTGTACTGAAACCCGAGGTAAAGCACCCTCACACACAGTGGCCCAGGCTGACTCAGCAGATTTCTGTGCAGCTGGTGGCACCCCTTCAGGCCCAGCTGCTCTAGTGGGACACCAGGCAGGCTCACGCCCGGCACCCCCGGCCCTGCCCGCCAACTCACAGTGCCTCCAGGGATGACCACACTGGAGGCCCTCTGCTGTCCCCAGCCATCCCTACAGGGCACAGGAATTGTCTCAGGAGCTCAGGGTTCAGAACACAGGAGAGGGACGTAGAGGGGCTGGTGACATTCTAGACTGCAGGTGAGGACGGCATGGCAGGGAAACGCATGGTCCCAGGGCAGCGGGGCAGGAGACCCCCGGCACCAAGCCCGTCGCCTGCAGACCCCCTCCCCCGACAGCTGCCAGCCCACCCCGTCAAGGACAGGGCACAGGCCCAGCCCCCAGAGCATTCACAAGAGGGGGAGACCTCAGAGGGCCCTGTAGCCAGGACGGCTTCCTGGGGCAGGGGTCTCAGATGGGAGGACTGGGAGACGGGGCCAGACTCTCTCAGGATGTGGGGTGAACTCATCGAGGGAGGGGCTGACATCACACAGTGACCCTGCTGGCTCCAGTCCTGGATAATCTGGCTGCAGGGTCCTGCCATCCCATCTGGAAGCCAGTCCTGGGGGCCCCCAGGATGCTGGTAATGCCTCTTCCCAGCTCCCAGCAGGTGACAAGTGACAGGGGGCGTCAGACTGGGTCTGCCTGCCCCTAAGAGGAACCGCCCAGCAGGACTCAGGAACTCAGTCCCCGGCCTGTGGTGGCCCAAGCCTCCACTGCCTAGACTCCCAGGTTCGAAGGGGCAGGGCTCAGCTTCTCTGGTGGGGGGCCCTGTGGGGCCTGCCGGCCAACCGGTGGCCCCTGCTGTGCAGAGCCTGCCCCACGCCCGAAGCGCACAACACGCCTGTCCTTGGATGGGGTCTCATTGCTGCTGCTTTTATCCCCTTCCTCAATCCCATTTCCTTTTGCATTTTGGATACTTTCTGGGGGCCTTTCAATTGAATTCACGGAGCAAATTTCCCTGGCAGAATGTCTCCGGGGACATATCAACATCAATCTGCTGTCTTTCACCATTAGATGCAACTTACATGGATGCCAATCCAATTCTGAGCAGGTCGTAAATAAATACCTTTGGTTTTATTTTTAATCCACTTGGCTTCATATTATCGTGACCTCGCGACTTGCAAGGTGAGGAGCAATACCCTCCCATTACGGTGCCTCAGCGACTCCACTGCACACTCAATTTCAGAATCTAATTTAGTCCCCCAGGCTCGCTGGACGGAGGGAGAATAAAGATGCCCAGCGCTCACAGGCTGCAATGCTAGAGAAGGAAAAATCTATTGGGATGACCTTTACGGGAGGCAAAGAACACAGCCAAACACGTCCTTAAGTACAGAGTTCTTTCTCAAAAAGGCCTGTCTTATTTATGCACTGGACAGAGCTCCTCGGATCTGGGTACCACAGCAGTTATTAGGCATGAGCTGTTTGCCATTAGCCACACCACGCGGGTAAACGGTCATGAAGCCATGCCTGGGTCGCATCACCAGGGTCCAGCTCTCCCTGGACAGTCTCGGAGGTGGGGGAGAAGGGAGTGCCGCTGGGACAGAACCAGCAGCGAGCCTAGCAAATTGTAGAAGGCAATCTGTCTTCAGTCTTAACTTCTCCACAGACAATGCAATGTCCTGTTGGTAGACACAAAAATTAAGAGCTTTGCTCACAACAGTGACATAGTAAGAAATCAAACCAGTCAGGCGCCTGTGATTCTTTCCCTCCGCTTGACGAGTTGCCCCCAGGCCGTGAAGCCACAGCAGGCATGCATTTCGGTTCCTGCCTCCTGCCTTCACCCACTGGCCGGCGTTCCGGCATCTTCCACACCGCCGTGCTGCGGAGAGCTGCCAAGGCAGGGCAGAAGCCTGGAGCTGGCCTGTCCCCAGCGGTGCCCCACGTAAGCAGTGCTGCAGAGGCCATCTTTTAAACAGAAATCTCCCTGCTGATGGATTTTGCCTCGAGATAGATTCCAAGAGGCAAGCCTTCTAAGGTTAAAGAGCAAATGACCTTTACAGCTTTGGTCACTTCTTGCTAAAAATGGTTTCATTTTTCCAGCGTCAGATGGAACCGTTACCCCCGCAGAGGATGATTATCTGTGTGCGCACACCTCCCAGGAGGGTCGCCCTGGGGCTGCAGTGAGCAGGCTCAGGGCCCAGGACTCTCGGTTTCGTTGGACCCTTGCAGAGGCGCACGCAGGCAGGGGGGTGGGGGTGGGGGAACGCAAGCTACAGCTCAGCCATCAGAGGACCCAGGTCCAGGCTCTGGCCCCACTGCCATCACAACCCCACAGACCTCTGCAGCTACTTCCTTGGGTTCTCAGTTATGTCACAAGGTGATCTTTGAGGTCCACAGAGGTCCACACATCCCTGGTCCCCAGCAAGTGAGCTAAATGCTTGCACACTTCTAAAGGATGCTGAACCACGGAAATTCAGATCCCAGCCCTGTACTCATCAGCTCTGCGACTCAAGACAAGTCTCAACAAGCTGTGCCTCAGTTTCCTCATCTATAAATGGGAACAATCACACGTGTCCCCCCCACGGGCTGCGGCTGGGACCCCAGCCTGCGTGACAATGCCACCTCTGGTCATTTGAGAGGCCACCACAGAACTGGGGAAGAGGCTGCCTCTTTGGACTGGATCTTCAAATTCTAATGTCAGATACAAATGACCTTATTTAACCGAAAACACTCCCAAAAAAACAGACTGGGACATGAGCTGCTTGGCACTTAAACAGAAACGCCCACCATCCATTCCATCTGCCTCTGTGAGGGACGGCCCACAGCCAAGTGAAGTTAGGGTTAGCACCCCCAGCACCTGGCAGGTCTGGGGTCACACCCGACCCCGGAGGTGATGTGCACGGGCTCCTCCCTGACAGCTCCCACGACCTCGCCAGGCGACAGGCCCGGGGCCACTCAGAGGGATGCAGCACACCCAGGCCCAGGGGGGTCTCTGGGCTCGACACAGCGAAGACCAGATGGCTCTGCCCTCTGGGTATACGTGTGCTGCTGTGTGTGGGGTGGGTACCAGGCACCACAGACAGACAGGCAAACACGGCACGGACTACGCAAACAGGCTTGCGTAGTCAAAGCCGGGTGTGTGAGGCGCTCGTGGCCTTTCGGTCCGCCATCCCCCACCCAGCCTGGCGGACACACGTGTCCGTGCAGAACACACTCCAGACCAAGGCCTGTGAAATGTTTCTTGATACTCTTTCTACAGATTACAGGTTAAAAGATAGTACTTTGGACAAACTGGGTACAATAAAATGTTAAAGTGAATTTCAGTTGTTTTTTTCACATTTCTGAGGCTACCAGAAAATTTAAGAGTTTGCATGTGGCAGGCATTACGTTCTATTGGGCACAGGGCTCCAAGGGACGCTAGGAATCTACCTCCCTGCTCCACCGCCCCCAGCCTGGGGCAGCCCGGCCTGCAGACAGCACGGTGAGGACCCTCGGCAGAGAGGACAGCCCGGACGGCTCCCACAGCAGGGGCCGGGCACGGGCACACGGCGGCAGAGCACGCCGCCTACTCCTCCACGCGGCAGAGAGCAGAGGTCGGCCTTAAAAGCTGCTCAAGTCAGTAGTTTACAAATTGCCAACTCACAGAGGTGAATAAATTAATCATGATGGGGCTAAAAGGGCCCATTTGCCGACTCTCATTATTTTCTCCCCTTAACCAAGAGAAGAAACAGGAGTCACTACACTGCCACACACGCCAGGTAGCCGGATTAATTGGACTAATTCACTTCTCCACCCACATTCCGACGCGTGATCTGTGCAGCCTGGCTAGAAAGCCCACCCACTCGGGGTGCTCTGACCCTGGTGCTCTCTGGATGGCAGACCCTGGTGCCCACCTGGGAGCCGCCTGGGGAGCAGGGTGGCAGCATGGGGCTCCTAGGGGCGGGACTCCCCACCAGTCTGCAGGTGAGGAGACTGAAGCGCAGACAGGCTGGCCGCCTGGCACCTGGACCCTGGTCGGCTCACGTCCGCTACCCTGTAATGCTGGGTGAGGTTGCAGCACAGGCCGCTGGGAGCCCTTGGGAGTTGAGTCCCTCATCTGTGAGGTGGGACGACAGGAGCCAGCTCCAGGCTGGGGGGTTCAAAGGTCAGTGACTAAGAGCCATGCTGCGTAGAAGACAGCGATCCAGGAAGCCACCCTGTTGTGCCCCTAGCGCCACCGTCACCATCATCCTATCTACACTGTGGGGCTCCAGGTGTGTGTCCGACACCCCTCGGGGGTGATAGGAGCAGCCCCTTCCAGAGGTGTGGGGAGCACGGAAGGAGTCAGTGCACCCTGCTGGAACAACCCCTGGCACATAGACACACACCAGTTTTGTCACCACCACCGTGTCCCAGGCGCAGTGGGAACCAGAGCAGCACCCGCGCCCGGGGCCTGCCCTGCGCTCTGCTGGGCACTGGCGCTCACCCTAAGCGAAGTGCTGATCTGGGTCCCCTCCAGCTGGCCTCCCACTAACCCCGGCTCCCCACCCTCCCCAGCCCCCGGCAGCACCTGGGCTGTCCGTCCAACTGCCCCCAGAGCAGGTCTCCATGGACACACAGTCCAGAGGTCAAGGATCATGGTCTCTGGCAGCCACTGGAGGGGTGGCCCTGGGCCGGGTCTGCTGGGGTTTTAATCCATATTCGTTATATAGCATCTG